ATTGGCTCATTTATTAAATGAGTTATTAATTTTTTAGTATTGAGTTCTTGTGCTCTTTATATAGAGAATTTCTATCTTTTTAAAGACCCAATAAAATTCCATTATATGCATATACCATATTTTGTTATTTATTCATTTGTCAATGGACAATTGGATTACACCTTTTGGCTATTATGCTTAATGCTACTAGGAACATGGGTGTATAAATATCTCTCCAAGGGTCTGCCTTCAGTTCTCTGCATCCATACATACTCAGAAGCAGTACTACTGGATCATATGGTAATTCCATTTTTAATTTTTTGAGGAACTGCTATATTGTTTTGTATAGCAGCTACAATATTTTTTATTCCACCAATAATGTATAAATATTCCAATTTACCCACATCCTTATCCTCATCTCTTATTTTCTATTCTTTTTTAAATAGTAGCCATTGTAATGGTTATGGGGCTAATTTATTATTTTTATTTAGTATGTTGTCAGTTATTACGTTGTCTGTTCTTCCTAGCCTCATTACTGGTCCAGAATATAGGTCCCGTTAACACAGGCATCTTTGTTTTGTGCAGTGTGTATCTTCTGCACTTAGAACAATGCTTGGTATACAGCAAGTGCTTATTATAGATTTCTTGTAAGAATGAGTGAATGGGTAAAAGAAAACCCCATGAAAGTATACCATCCTTTCCTTTCCTGGTTTCTACGGCTTTGATCCTAGGATGTTTATATTTATGTTCCTATGTTACCTTCACACAAGAAATTTAGAATTTTTAGAAAGTAATTATCCCTTTAACAAATATTTTCTGAGAGTCTACTACATGCAGTTATCATTACTATCAGGTGGAAATCCTAAAACACATGGAATCTAGTGTTTTTGCAGAGCTCAAGAAATTTATAGGAAAATCAAAGAGAAAATATGAAACACAGAAAACTTAGTAATAGAATGGGGTATATTCAATATCCACTTGATATCCCCACTCAGCTATAACAACGATATCTTAAAATGAACATTTCCCAAAGAGAATCAAGCTTGCCTTACTAACCCTACTTCTGTCCTATGTTCCTTGTTCCTGAATAAACTACTACATCCAGGTATTCAAGCTAGAAACCAGAGATTTATTTTTCCTTCTGCTCCAACTGGTACTCCCTTTTGCCCAACTGTTGATAATAATTACTTCTATGACTTGATTCACATATATTGAGCACTTACTCTATAAAATAAAGTTCTAAGTTCATTGCCTATGTTAACTTATTTATTCCTTGCAAGTAGATGAAATAGGATTTACCATTTTCAGCTATGATATAGATGAGGAAACAGGTTAAGTACGTTGCCCAAGGTCACTCAGATAGAAGAGGGTAGACCTAAGAATCTGTACTCCAGAGCCTATGCCCTAAACTTTTGTGCTATTTGGGAAATACTTTCTGTTTCAAACTGGTTTATTGGAAACCACTCTAAGATATCTGAGTCCACTTTCCAAAATGAGTAAGTGCATACAATTTTGATAATATAGAACCATCCAGGTCCTTCATCTCCATTATGAAACTTGGCTAATGGAGATATCAATAGTCAAGAAGATTGGGTGGGTCTAGATCTTACTGGGAACTTGCTCTTAAAAGTTCTATCAGCAATTGATTTTCCTGCTTTGATGTTTTTTCTTTGAAACAGAGTATGTCAGTAAAAGTTAGTTAATTATAGGGAGGGCAGCAGAATACAACTGACACTAGGATTGCTGTATATATACACATGGATATATAACCAATGTGATCCTGCAATCTGTACATGTGGAAAAATGAGAATTCATACCCTATTTGAATCAAATGTATGATATGTCAAGATCACTGTATTGTCTTGAGCAACTAAAAAAAAAGTTAGTTAATTGAAAACTGTGTTTAATTAAAGCTATAGTGTAGCAAATATAGTCATTGATATCAACAAGGCACATACATTATAAACACCATTAAAAATGGACAGCTTTTTCGCCTTGGAAGTTGTATTGATCTTAGAGGCAAAGGGGGATGGAAGGCACACGTCCCAAGTCCTATTCTTGTGAAATTAAATGAAGCACAACTTAAAAATAAACCACAATCCTTCTGGCACCAGCAGTGCCATCTGTAAAATGAAAAAAATAATAAAGGCTCACAAATTGGGATTTCTGAATTAAAATTGAAAAAGATGAATGTAACTGCAAGTATTAGGATGATTACAGATACAGCAAGAGTCACTTTTGAGTTTTAACTCATTAAGTGCCATCATCCCAGATGTGGATACATACGAAAAACTTACATTGAGCAACAAATATACAACTTATGGTAATTGTTGAAATAATTATTATGTTCTTAACATTCTGGTTTTTTTTTTGAGGAAAGTAATGGGTAAATGAATGGAGTGCTTGAAAATATATATAAAGGGCACCTAAACTCTAGATTATGATTTCCAACCTATTTTAATGCACCTGTGTCAATTTCATTGGAATATTTGCAGAATTGAAAACTAGGGACTTTAATGGATTAAGTTTATTAAGTGTTTTATAGACTATATTATATTACTTTGCTATCACATTAACATACAAATATGATACATTTTGCCAGATGTGGTGGTATATGCCTATAATCTTAATTTCCCAGCTACTCAAGTGACTGAGCTTGAAACCAGTATGGGCAATTTATTGAGACCCTGTCTCAAAATTAAAAAGGGTTTGGGATATAACTCAGTGGTACAGTGCTTTCCTAGCATGAGTGAGGCCCTGAGTTCCATCCCCAGTACACCCTCACCACTACAGATACATTTTTAAAGCCCAAAGGGGTCATTTTAAAGCCTCCAACGTGACTTTAGCAAACAAAGGATACAGTGCTAGCAAGAAGCTATTTGGGCAAATGCACAGATCATTGGAGCTAGGAAGAGACAAGCACTCTGTGTTACCAGAAAATTCAAGGTCAGCATTTGCAGTTTCATTTCCATCACCACAGCACTCTCTTTGACAAAGAATCGTCATATCTACTGAAAAGTTGCATTCACCAACCAACTTGCTCTTTTAGCCTCACCCGCCACTCGTCTCTCCAGGGAATTCAGTTACTTCAACATTCCCAAAAGACAAGCAAATAATTATTTTTAGCCTATTTTTATGTGACATCCGAAAAGATGCAAAAAGTAATAATAGTAAGCAAGAAGTGATTTCTTCTGAAGTATGAGTTTTAGATAAAAATTAATACGTAAAAGTATATCTTTACTGGGGAGTGGGGGAGTCTAAATCTCACCTGATTTTTAAAAACTACCCTTAAAATAACTTGGTCAGCATAATGCATTGTCAGATCTATATGGGGTTTTCATTCCTCCCTTCCCAACCCCCAATATAGAGTTGAGACTTCTAAAATGGACAAACAGCTCTGTCCATTCTTGCTGTCAAATCAGACCGTTCAAAAACAGTGCCTGGGTTTGATTTTTCCTTTAAAAGAATGTGCTGTTAGTCAAACAACAAAAGAAAAACACTGGTGCACACATGGCCTGATCTTAACCAGGCAGATGACAGCGTGGCATCCTCTGTCAATCTTTCTAGAGACAGGCAGGCCTGGAACAGACTGTGCAGCTTCTGCCTGCACAGTTTATCAACTGGAAATTATTCCTGGTGACTATGGATTCCCCTAAGCCATTCTTACTACCCAATACATTAAGTATAATATAGTCATGAACATTAAAAACATCTTCTGTCAAGGAAGTTCTGTTATTCCTAATACCTTCAGATTTCTTCAAAAATAAAGAGAATTATGTGAATTGAGAATGAGTTAAAACTAGGGCTATGGTTCTTACTTTCTCATCTGATTAAACTACAATGAATCTAAATTCAGCTTAATACAACACCTAATACCAGATTAGGAACTCATTAGGGACAGGCTCTGGTTTTGATTTCCTTTGATCACTGCATTAAATATTCCTTTTCTCCCAAAATAAGAATGACTTTATTTAGTCTTACTGGCTTACCAGCCAACATACAAACTCAATGTAGGGCCTACTATGAGGCAAAAGGGAGAGTTTGACCTCCAAATCCTCTAGTAACCATCAGTGTTTAAAACATTTTCTCTTGTCATCTGCTTCCCAGAAATAGTTTGGTATCTTTGAGTGATAACATTTCCCCTTCCTTTGATCTGATTCATAGTCAAGAAGAGAACCATTTAGAGACCTACTGTGATCACAGGTGAAAAGGCTCACAGAATTTCAGTATGGGAAGAGCTTTCCAGACCCCTTATTTAGGAAATGGCAAATATATTTCATCATTCATGTCAACCCTTATTGCTCAATGATAACCCTGGAATAATGTATTGAGTGGCATTCTGGCCTGGACAGGAGCTCAGAGGGAATGTCTAACACAGGCTCTTTAAGGGAGGCCAGGCTCAAGAGAGAGCTGTGGCACTGAGCCATAACTTGCCATCCCTGAGTAAATACTATAGAGAGCTACATGGCTTGTGTTCCACTGTTTTTCCCACTAGACTTTTTATTTAAGCAGAAGTATCAATAATGAAAACCTAAAAATATTTGCAGCAGTAAATATTAAGGAAAATACATGGTCCATGAAAAGAACACCATCTGAGAGGCCTGTGTTGGCATATTCCCATGAAGGGACAAAGGTGGAATTTCTGGGTTCTTCCTCAACTGCACGGTGACAAATACTACACCTTAGTGCTCCACAGGTAAAAGGATGAAGAAAGAGACAGGTAGTTCTCCAGAAGTTACATGGCTTCTGTGATAGGACTGGGCTGGAAAGAGGGAAGGAAAGGAAACTGAGGCTTAAGAATCAAGCAAATTTCAGTGGTTCCAATGAGACAGAAAAGCATTAAGCAGAAAAGTCAATGTGATATTTGTTTTGAAAAGAAAAAAAATGGAAAAATCAGTTTCTTGAACTGGAACTAGCAAAACTCTATTGACCAATTAATAAATAGTATTTACTTGCTTTCTGCTCTGTTCTTAACATTTGAAGGCTGAAGTGGATGGATGTAAGACAAAAGACATGCTTACTTTCACAGATTATCTGATTTCTCTCTCATCACTCTTCTCTTTATAACAAGCTTGGGTGCCAGGGGCTAGGTCAGATCTCCGGGGAGGCAGAATTAAGCTCCCAATGTATTCTTGGTGTTGTCAACCAACTGGCTCCCAGGTGAGAAGAACATTTTTGGCAGTAAAAGCAGTACACAGCAGGCGAGAGACCTAAAGAAAAGGCAAGGGAGAAGAGGCAGGCACTTGGTTCTGGAGACAAATAAACACAATTAGCTGTGCTAGAAACAAAACTGAAAAGACTCAGTGGGGAGATTTTGATTCCTTCTGCCAAAAGAGCAAACCAAAGAAAAATTCATTTCAAAAAAAAGCTTTCTAGCTCCCTAGTAGCTGTCACCCAATGACAGTCACATTTTCTGCTGAGTCCTTTTTCACTGTGGATTATTTCTCCAACATTCTTCAAACAATGTAAAAATAATGGTTTGACTGCTTTGTCAGTTTTCCTGCCTAAATAGAATCCATTATTCTTTCAAGCTAGTCTTTTCATTCCTGGAGATGACCACTCAGGCTTTTCATAGTCATTCATTGCCTTTGTACCTAAGACCCAATTTGCAGCAATGGTGGGGTGGCTGAATTCATGGAAATCAATAGTCATGTCCCTGGGAGTTTGCTTATAGTCCCAGGATCCAGTTCTATAGTTTGAGGATTAGCTACAGCAGAAGGGATCCAGTGACGACCATAGGGCACAGGACAGGCTCTGGAGTTAGGCAGTTTGGGTGTGCATGTTGTCTCTGCCTCTTACAAGTCGGGTGACCTGGGCAAGTCACTAAACCTCTTTGGGTCTCATGGTCCTCATCTGTAAAAACAGAGATGAAAATGGTACCTCACCAATGGGATTGTTTTGAAGTGTAAGAAATTATAATAAGAGCCCTTATCTTTTAGAATCAGATTCTCAAATATTCACAAATACTATACCTGAGATTAGCTTCAAAATAACCTGGAGGTAAGGTATGCACAAAAGAAGTTGGCCATGGATTGATAATTACTGAAGTGGGAGGATGAGCACCTAGGGGCTTATTATACCATTCTGTCCACTTCTGTCTGTTTGAAAATTTCTATAGTGTGAGAGAGAAGAGAGAGAGCAAGAGAAAGACTACATATAGTAAAACTCTTAGCACACAACATGTGCTCAATAAATAGAATCTGTTATAGATCAGGAAGGGTTTTAAAGACATTGTTCCCAGGTCACATGGGTATCATGAGACTAGCCTGCCTCTCTAGAGACATGCATGGGTCACCAGCATGAGGCGGAAAGGTAAGATACACTGAGAACTTCACTGTCACTCAAGGCCATCCATGAGTGCCCAATCTTTCACCATCAAAAATAAGAATAAAAAGTTGTTATTAGTTCTCTATGCTTTGGAAGTTTACTAAATCAACCACATTCATTAAGTATTCATTAGCCCATTTTGGCGGGGGGGTGGGGGGTGGGGTGGTATTACAGAGTATTGAACTCAAGGGCACTTAACCACTGAGCCACATTCCCAGCCCTATTTTGTATTTTTTTTAGAGACAGGGTCTCACTGAGTTGCTTAACACCTTGCTTTTTTGCTGAAGCTGGCTTTGAACTCGTGATCCTCCTGTCTCAGCCTCTTGAGCTGCTGGGATTACAGGTGTGCACCAACGTGCCAAGCTATCCCATATTTTTCACAGACACACACAATCACAAGTTAGCTGTAGGGTGGGTGACTCCAAACTGAGCTATCACCCCAGCCCGAAGAAAAACACTTCTTAATTTTCATGATCTGTTAGCAATTTGCCACACATACACATGGATTTGTAGGCATATGAAATAATGAAAAAAATAATTTTAATGAACCCACTCTAAACCCTAGGTTTATGCCTCCAGTGCGTTCGGGGATAGCAATTCAGAGTCAGCCCCAACTTCTGAAATTTCTTAGGGTAATGAGCTGGACAGATAGAACTAACCTCCTTCTAACTAATCCCAGGCTAGATATTAAAGGAGCCCTTTATTAAATCAGGATTCCCAAATTCTATTCCATGGCCCCTCACAAACAAGGAATTTGCCATTCCAGCTCTGACATTAACTCTCATAGTCTTGGGTTGGCCACTTCATTTCTATTTTCTCATTTGCAAACTGGGATAATATCTCCCTCCCAAGGTTTTTGCAGGGATTAAAGATAAAGCAAGTAAAGTACATTGTATAATAACTGGAACATAGTAATTGCTCAAAACATAGTAATTATTCTATGTCTCTGGGAGTCTTTATGTATGGATATATTATTATCACTTTTGGGATTTGATTAGTATTTAGACCCCAAGGTTCTCCAGGTCATGAGATGGATCGCAGCCACATAATTAGAAACAGTTCAATATTTTCCTTCTATTTCATGTGACAAAATTTTGATGCAGGTGCACTGTCTTCTCCATAGAGCTGTGATATATGGATAACTATGTTATAACCATCAGTACATATATCCTATCCTATGTATGAATCACATAGCATAGGACATATAAATGTCTTGTGACATTATCTTTTAAACTGAAAGAAAACTATAAGAAGTAAAAAATAAAGAGAAAAGTATGATACAATTCAAGTCCAGCAAGACTATTGTTTTTATTATGAAATGCTTGTTGAATGTCACTCTCTATATATTACTAAGCATGTCAATGGATGGGAGAAGTATAAATAATAAAGCTGGAAATCCCTTAGCAAAGACTTTAATGGTCTTTGGGTTCTCTACAAAGGGAAGTAAACCTTATATACTCTTCTTAAAATCTTGATGTCATCCATTACCTCTATTATACATTAAAATTCATCATAATTTGTTCATTCCACAAATACTGCTCTGATGTGGTATTGAATTCTCCACACACAGGAAAGTAGGGATAGTCTAAGAATAGTCTAAGAATAGACTATTGAAGCTTATGGTACTTTCTCAGATCTGCAGAGAAGAAAATCTCCCTTCAACCATGGCTCAGTTCAACCTGATCATCTAACTCAGTTGACCTAATGCAGCAAGAAGACTCCCCACCTTTGAGGAAGGGACATTTTTTAAATTTACATGAGATCACATGAAGTCTAACTCATCCACTATAAGCTTCTGAGCAGGTAATTAACTGATGCCCTCCAACTTACATAGGGCTTGAGATTTGCTTTGCCCTGGTGGTGTTAGTCCTGCATACAAGCATTAAAAAGTCATGATAATTACTTTCTCCACCCATTTTTTGAAGCAAAGTATCATCTTTAAAACCCACCTCCAAACTGTAACCTCCATACAGCAGGGATTATACTTTTGCTTATCATTTCTTCTCCGTGTTTAGCACAGACCCTTGCACCTGCTGGCTTCAGTATTTGATAAATAAATGAATGAAAAGGTATCCTCTGGTTCCGAGACCACAGGCAAGTCTACCAAGATATCATTCCACAAGGGTTAGTGTTCAGGTTTCTCTTCAGCTAGGTCTACCCAAGTCACAGCATGAATTTCAATGATTCACAGCATTAGGTATCACAAACAGCATGGACAAGTGCCACAAAATAGGTCTGAGTAACAGAGGGGTTCTCTCTCTCAATCACTGGAGGGTAGAAGACTCCAGACACACAAGGAAAGCTGAATGAAAGCTTCAGGTAGTAGGGCCATTTTGTTCCTCCTTAAGAACCAAGGAGTCTTGGGGCTGAGGATATGGCTCAGCGGTAGAGCGCTCACCTCACATGTTCAAGTCCCTGGGTTCAATCCTCAGTACCAAATATAAATAAATAAAATAAAGTTATTGTGTCCAACTACGACTACAAAAAATAAATATTAAAAAAAAAAAAGAAACAAGGAGTCTTTTGTTTTATTGTACTAGAGATTGAACCCCCAGGTACTTTACCCCAGAGCTACCTCCCAAGCCCATTTATTATTATTATTATTATTATTATTATTATTATTATTATTTAATAATAGTGAGACAGGGTCTCACTAAGTTGTTTAGGGCCTCACTAAGTTGCTGAGACAGGTCTTAAACTCGCAATCCTCCTGCTTCAACCTCCCTGGGACAAGTGTATACCATTGTGTCTGATAAGACAAGGAATCTTAAATCTAGAGAAATGCCAACATGCTAGTACTAAAGCAATTGAGAATTTTATTTGAGTAAAGTCTACTCTACTCTTTGGGTAAGTCACAACTCTCTGCATATCAGTTTCCTCATCTGTGAGATGGGACTAATATTATATGTATTTCACAGGGTTGTTCTGAGAATTAAATAAAGTAATATAAATACATTTCCTGACACTGATAAATGCTCAGTTAATAGTAATTATTTTGTAATGCTGAAGCCAGACTCATATTCTACTTGTAGCTCCATTCTTTCTCATAGAGTCTGCTAAATCAGAAGAGGCGGAAAGATATGATGGACAGAGCCCTGTAGCAGTTATCAGAAGCCCTGGGTTCAAGTTCCTGTTTTTTCCATTTTCTTTTAAATAATTTTTATAGTTGCCAATGGACCTTTATTTTATTTATTTATATGCGGAGCTAAGAATCGAACCCAGTGCCTCATGCATGCTAGGCAAGCACTCTACCACTGGGCCACAACCCCAGCCCCTGTTTTTGCCATTTTCTCTTATGACTTTGACAAATTTCTTACCCTTTCCAACTTCAAGCTGTAAATTCATCATCTGCAAAAAAATAAAAATAAAAATAAATATGATGGTATCTGCTCTTGATGTCTCATAGGATGGTAGCAAAGATATAATTGACAAGATATATGAAAACACCTTGAAAACTGTCCTGCAGATAAACACACAGATGTACTGAACAAGGTAAATTTATCAATATTAATTAAACACTGCTAAAACTCTAAAACAATGTTTTTTTTAAAACTTCTTTACACTATACCTCATCAAAAGCAAGCCAGCATACACCCATCACTAAAGCAAAAGCTTAACAAAACAATTCTTTATTTTGACATTTTAAATTATATTCTCTTTTCTCTCCTTTTAAAATGCTGGTCCTTAATTTCAGAAGGCAGTGGTTTTTGTCCTTCAACTTTCAATGGGCATCAGAATCATTTGAGAAGCATTTAAAAAATCTGATGCCCAGGCCCTACCCACTGAGACTGAATCAGTGGTTTGAGGTGGAGTTGGGGCAGCCCCAGGTTATCTTATTATACAGCTCTAATGGTTTCTAGCTCACGGCCAAATAACCACTGTTATTTAGTCTCAGTCTGCTAAACACTCTGTGGCTTGGAATTTGCCTCACCTCCACCCCCATCTCTGTCCTGAAGATCAGCATGTTACTGTGAATTGATTACTCACTCATATGGCTCCAGGGTGGTGAGGAAAAACAGAAAGAAATGGAGATTAAAGTGGAATCTTTCCCCTCTCAGATGGCAGGATAATGTCAAGCAAAACAAAAACAAACGTGGATTGGAATATTTTGTTAAAAGTAAGGAGATCCCCTGCAAGAATTCTGTGCTCAATACAAGGGGCCAAAGAAAAACTGAGAGAAACTGCCAGTCCTCCTTCCCTGCTCACACAGCAGAGGAAGCTCAGACCAAGAGTAGACAGGGATCTGAGAAGAGCCTTCTGTAGTCTGGGAGATAAGCTCAGTGAGAAGGAGTTCCATAGCCTGGCTGTCTCCTTCTTCCAGGTGTAGCCCAGATGGAAACAGAAAACTTCATCCTCGGCTCATCTTTCCTCTACACAAGACAAGTCTGAAGAACTGTCCTGTTCATTTGGTTGGTGTGACCTGCAGACTATATCTAGCTGTTGGTAGAACCTGGGCCAGAATGTAGAAGGAACAAGAAGTATATTCCTCTGCCCTACCTTTGGACACATGGATGGATCAAGAAACTTGGCTTCTTTCTGTACATAATGGGTTAAAAAAAACCAAAAAACAAAGCTATGTCTGTTTGAAGCACAATCCCTAGGTCTTAACCCAGATCTACAAACCAGTCATAATACTAAGAGTAACCATTTAATAAGGACCTCCAATGTGTTCAGCACTTCATAAACACTACCATTTAATTTCACAATATCTCTGCAGTTGTGCATGTTATAGATGTTCAGGTTGAATAATTCATCTAGATAGTACAGTCAATACCTGGGTGCCAGGGTGCTAGCACAGGTTAATCCTCACCACAAATCCCAGGTTCTAGGCCAGGGTTTCTCCATACCACTGACCAGAGTGTTCTTTATTGCTAGGGGCTGTCCTGTGCTTTCTAGGACGCCTAGCAGCATATCTGGCCTCCACCCATTAGATGCCAGTAACATCCTTCCCTACTCCAGTTACAACAACAAAAAATGTCTCCAGACATTACTAGAAATCTCCAGGGGGTGGGCAAGATCAACCTCTCTCTTCATGAAGAACCACTGTGGTGGGATAAACCATCCTGTATATTATGTTCCATACTTGACAAGTACATAAGTCATCATTAAGAAGAGAAAGCAAGAACCACACACAACCCTCCAGGAAAGTATTGCTAGAGTTACAATTCAGTAAGTACTTTCATAGATATCACTTCCTTTCATAGCATCTAGATACACAGAGATCTCATCCTAAAAGAGTTAATCAACCTCAAAAATATTAACACTCTCAGGGCTGGGGTTGTGGCTCAGCGGTAAAGCATTCATCTAGCACGTGTGAGGCCCTGGGTTTGATCCTCAGCATCACATAAAAATAAACAAACAAAATAAAGGTATTGTGTACAACTAAAAAATAAATATTTTTTAAAAATATGAACACTCTTGAGAGATCTACCTGTTTAGACTTCTCCAGGAAATTGAAAGAAAAGAACTTACAGTGAAATCCATAGTAATGCTTAGCCCTATAAGCCATTAGGAGAAAAATCTTTGGCTAACAATGTACAGTCATGAGAGAGCACATTATGTGAACTTCTGGAGGTCAAAGCCTGTGTCTTGTGTCTCTCTCCAACTCTAGCACTTGCTAAAACCCAGGGAACTCTCATAAAAGGTTGAGTATTTCATGAAACACAACCTATTTCATAGCAATCCCTTAACATCTGATTAAAATTAGCATACAATTATTTTTCATCTTGCTAACATATCTATATATTAAGTAAAATACATAAATTTGAAAAAATTCACACCAAGATTTACAAAAGAGCTGAGAATTTAGTGTCAAGCCATTCTTCCATGTCCTTTAAAAAAACAAAGCATAACAAATTCATGTTTTAACTAAAGGGATGTTTACTGGAATCATCCTTTTCAATACATGGCAAGAGAATGATAACTATTTCAATAGAAAAATATTTTCATTGGATCAGGGAAAAAATTATAGTAGAGGCTTTAAAACTCCTTTTTCCTTCAGATTTTAACTACCACACCAAACTGTAATGCACAGTCCTAACTGGTATATTCATTTTTAAAACATCAGGATTCAAAATAAAGTAACTAACTGGTAGTTTTTAAGGTTATCCTTTAAATACTCCTAAGATGATAAGAGGGTAAAAACAAAATATTCTCATGTACATGTTCAGTTGTTACAACTCAGATAAAAGGAAAATCATTACTTGAAAAATTATAAGTTTTCACATGGATTCAAAGAAATGTTATATAAAGCTACCAATAAATAATTTTAATAATAAAAATAGACCCTCTATGCATTCATTATATGTCAGGCCCCAAGCTAGGTATTCTACATGTATAAATCTTATTTAATCTTTATCACAACCCCATGAGACACATAACTATTAGTAACTTCTTTTTAAGGTAAGAAAACTGAGGCTGAAAGAAGTGAAACAACTTGTCCAAGACCACAGCTAGATCAGATTTGAGCCATGACTGCCTGAAAATTTATGACATATAATCTAAAAAAAAGGGGGGGGTAGAATTTATGGAAATAGAAGAAAAGCTGCATGTTCTGTTAATTTCTCATGTTGCATGGCCTAGAATCCTAAAGTTGAAAGTAATTTAAAGAAATCATTCTCTTCCACTTGCTTCTGTAAAATTCTTTCATATGAAGACTCAATCACAAGGCATTACTTGGAATAAGTGGCTTTCTGAGTATCTTTTTTTGTGTGTGAGAAAACAAGTCTCTTATTTGTTTTGCTTTCTGAAAATATGCAATAATGGAAACTGCCTAGCAAAGAATATCAAGAAGGGGAAAAGAAAGGTTTATTTCCTCTAGCCCAATATGCCATAAAGTATAACAATAAAGTATAACAGGTTTTATTCTCACACATACTAGAGCATAAATACCCAAGTGAGGATTGTACTTTGGAGTAATTATTTTTCCCATTTTGAAAACATATATCTTTTAGAATTACCAGCCCTTCGTGAGAATTTTCATTATTTTAATGGGCACACTTTATGTTATAACCTCAATTCTCTACCCCAGAAGCCCAAGTTGGCCCCACTAGGTGTTTGGCTCCTTCCCAACAGAAGAAGATTGACCATCACTGAGGCAATTTGGTAAATGTGCTGCAAACTCAGAAGGCAACTACAAAGCAGGAGCTCCAAAATCATTCCCAGCAATGACAGCATCACTAAGATTAGTACGTGGTTTGCCAAGAGGAGACATCTGAAAGGGAGAAATACTCATCTGAATGTATAAATACTGGCATATTTATTTTAACATTTGGATAAAGAATTGGAAGCATCAGCCAGCTTTATGCCCAAGTGAATAAATATGCTGCTGCAATGATAATGCAGATTTTTGGTGCAAGATTCTGACCACTTAATTACACATATACCTCCTTAATGAAACAAAACTTGTCTTAAAATGATACTTGCAAAATGAATACTTCCCTTTCCCTTTAACTTGCATAATTACTGAGGAGATTTCCTTTTTATGAAGAAGCTGGGGAGATCAGAACCAGCAACAAATGCTAGTGGCCAAAACACTCCTCCTAGAAAGTTCATCAATCTCAGTGTGTGTCAGAAGATGGACCTATACACTTAGCACAGAAGGAAGAAAGGAGGGAACACCTTTTCTCTGTCCCAAACCTAGGTATCTTGCAATGAATAAATCCACTTAATAGGATTCACAGACCCTGGGTCTTCCTGAGTAGCTGTTAGAGCAAATAAACTAATTACAATACATAATCAGCAATATACGATATATTAATAAAAGGTAGTCAAACATTATTTAAATAATTGAAGGGAGTTGTGCACCCAAGACAACAGAAAATAAAAAAATAAACTATCAGATCAAGCTCTGCCATCTGATCGTTTTTATATACACACTTGGTTACCCCATCCCATTAAGTGCTAAAGCCAAGCAGTCTGGCTCCGTTTCAGTTGACTTGGCCGAGGGTATAGCGGCTCAGGGATGGGTACAGGCTGTGGCTGATCTTAACAGGGCAGTCAAGGGCAGTCGACCTTCCATACAGGCAACTTCCTATTAATTGCAGTAAAGAGAAGCTTCACTGACACAAACAATCCCAAACTACAATACTCCTCGTGTTTACTGGGCTGTGGAATGTAGTGCATTTGTGGGCTGGTGTGTGTGTGTGTGTGTGTGTGTGTGTGTGTTGTCGGTCTCCTCCAGTTTTTACTCCAAAACAGCCTCTGAGGAAGCAGGGGAGCAAGTAGTGTGTGTATCTAAAAATTACACACACCTTTATTATATGAATTACGCCTAAGGTACACATACTATAGATATTATCTGTTTATTTGAAATCTCACTCTGTAACTATTATTTCTAGCACAGACTCTTTTGATCGGGTCCCTGGACTAAATAATTTTTAAGCCAGGTCAGAAATATAGGGTGCAATTTAGAGCAAGATAAACAGCCCAATCTGGACCGCAGGTCTCCTTGGCCTTCCTCCTGTCCATCAGTACCAGGAGCGCAAGCAGCTACACAGCAAGCTGTGATGCTCTGGCCGGCTCCAGGTCCTCACACCAGGGCGCCCACAGGTAACTCCCAGTAGGTTCCTAATACTCCCGGAGGTCTGGGAGCGTTGGGTCCCTACTCTTCTCTCTCGGAGTTACCCATTCTTCCTCTCTCCAGCAGATGCCCTCTCGAGGTGTCAACGACCTGGTTCCAGGAGAGGACTGCTTTCTCATGGCTGACAGGTTCCCTGTGTCCCAGCACCACTAGCCACTTCCGACACCCATCCGCGGCATTCTCCACCCTCCAACCCCACCCACCACCCCGCCCATAAACCAGCCGCCCCCAATTCTCAACACAGCTCCGATCTTTGCACCCATCACTTCCATCTTCTCGGAGAAGAACCCCCATATTTCCAGCAAGAAGCTACACGCACCGCCCAACCCGGCTCTTTCCAGGGCTCCCTCCCTCGAGTGCCCCCTCCCACCCCGTTCTTCTTCTCCGGGCACTCCCCTCTCTGGTTCAGTTCCCCTCAGTCCTGCGGAGGGCGCCCCAAGAATGCCGGCAGGGCGCCCCTCGTTCCGCCCTCCCAATCTTCCGCGTGTCGCGATCCTGACACCTACCCCATCCCCAGTTCTCAGGACTCCAGCTACGATGCTCCCAAATATCACAGACAACCCCCCGACCCCAGCCTTTCCGAGCTCCGGGCTCCCCAACACCACAGTCTTGCCCCGTGTTCTGCCTTCCAGGTTCGGTTAGTGAAACTCTCCAACACCTGCGTCCTAACCCTCGCCCCGGGTTCGGGTTCCCCAACATTGCGGTTCTGGACCCCCCTTCAGCCTCTAGTCCTGTAGCTCCCCAATGGCGCGATCCTGCCGTCCCCGCCTCCTGAACTCAGGCCCGAGGCTCTTCAGCATCCCGGTCCTGATCCCCAGCCCTGCCCGCTCTTCGCCATGCGCGGCGGGACTCACCCGCAGGGGCGGCGGCCGAGCGGGTGCGCGCAGCCCGGCCGTGTCCAGCCTGCACTCCCAGCTCAGCTCCCTGTTACCAGCCTCCTGCAGGCGACTGACTGCCGAGGACTCAGCACGGGGGAGCGGCCGGGAGGAGGAGATCTGCGAGCGCTGGCTCCGCCCCTTCTCGGCCCCGGGGCGGGATGCGCAGCCCAGCGCAGCCCCAGCGCACACCCGACTGCAGCCGCCACTGCTGCCAAGGAAGTTGACTGACGCTGCTTCCTTCCACTGGGGGCTCAGACTCTTGTAACCACCTTTGCAAGGGAAAAAGAAAAAAAAAAAAAAAAAAACAACAACAACAATCCGTGGGTTGAGGATAGGACCAGCCAACCGCACTTAAGATTCTTTCCAGGAATCCATCCCAGGGGGAAACAACAAACTTAAGCTGCCATTTCAAGACTGATTTAAATCCTGGCCTTCATTCTTTCACTGCCCTTTTGTGAGCATTGAGGGTCATGCCCATGAAATAAATCATGCTGTAACACATCAAGAAGGCCTTTGCAAACACACCCGTGCAAGGCTCATCACACAAACCCACATCTTACACCATCAGGCCAAGAAACCCACTACTACCAACCCATCTTCCATATAGAGAACTCCATTAGGTCCTGGCACCAGTGACCCGACTTGCCCCTCACCCACAATGCTCTATTTTCCCATGAGAAAAATACAGTTAAGTAGTAGGACCATCAGTTAACCAATCGAATCGGTTTTGCTGTTACAGAGCAGTCTGTATTTTTTGAAGAAAAGAAACTGATCCAATCCTGCGGAGATGGGCTGTATTAATGTTACTATAGGGGTTCCACCCACCTCATCTCACTATTCTGCGACAGGCCTAATTTTGGTCTGTTGATTCCTAGAACTTTTCCCTTATACTACCTTGTTTTAGTGACACGTCTAACATTTCACATTTTAATAATGTTTTTCCTGTTCAAAACATTTTTAAAGTCATTATTTGATTTACCCTCAGCAAAACATCATGAAACAAAGAAAGCAAATTATCTAACAGGACTATTTGAATTCCATAAATGAAGACATTTTAGACTGAGCAGTTACTTGGCAGTCAGAATCAGGAAAATTGTCAGGGAACTTCTTCCATATCCTCAAAAATATGGGCCTTTAACCTTAGTTGGCATTCATTTGTTTTTAAGCCAAGATTACAATTGTACAACAGAGTTGATGAAGAGAAGGTGAAAACTCCCTCCTCTGCCACTCTGAGCCTCTCAAGAAACAAGCTGGGAAATCAGAAGTCCTATTCACAGTCTCAATCCAACTACAATGATCTATCCAGTAAGAACAGAGGAGCTGTGAAACTCATTGTTGATGTTCTTGCATGTTTTTTTTTTTCCAGAGTTCCTCTATCTGGAGTATGAAGTTTTAATAGGAGACTAACAAGTCCTCTAATCCCTTTTCAACTGTTCTTTTCACTTTTTTTCAAAGGGCAGGTGTAAGCCTACATGTAAAGTGTAATGGATGTCAGGCATTATTATCTATGTGAGAGAAAGTTCTGTTTACCAAGTAAAGCTATCTAGAGCCTCTAAATTAAGAATAGTAGTTTCTCCTAGAGCTTGGTGTCACACACCTGAAATCCCAACTTCACCAGAAACTGAGGCAGTAGGATTGCAAGTTTGAGGCCAGCCTGGGCAGCATAGTAAGATCCTGTCTCGAAATTAAAAAAAAAAAAAATGAAAAGGGCTAGGGATGTAGCTCAGTGTGGGAGACCCTGGGTGGGGGTGGGGGACAGGGATAAAACAAAACAAAAAAAGAGGCGCTTTATGCCTGTTAAAATTACTTGGTTTCCTAATCCCAGTGACTCAGGAAGCTGAGACGGGAGGATCACAAGTTCCAGGACAGCCTCAGCAATTTAGCGAGTCCATAAGCAACCTAGTGGGAACCAGTCTCAAAAGAAAAAAAAAAAAAAAGGAGTGGTGATGTGTCTCAGTGGTAAAGTACCCCTGGGTTCCATCTACAGTGCCAAAAACAAAAAAAAACCCTACTTGATTTCCATGCAAGCCCCTTCCATTTTCCACTGTAAGGTGATAACCTACTTCACTTTAGGCAGAAAGTAATATTTTGGTAACTCTGGAAAAAGAGTTCTAGAGTGACCTTTCTATTTTTGAATAATAATTAAAGCCTATTAATCCTTCATAAGAAAAACAATCAGGTTGCTCTTTGGTCTATGGAAGGAAATGCACTGCCAAACCTCCCTCCATGTAACTTTCCAATTGTGAAATAAAATTTGACCTGAGATTTTTCTAAAAGCTGGAAACAGGCAAAAAAAATCTTGGATATTACAGTATGTTCTCAATAAGAAGGCTGACCAGTCACCACTTCCCTTTCAGATTGCCCTTGAAAGCCACAGACATGGGCAACATGCAAAATGATTTTTAAAAAGATATGCAAGATTAAAGAGTTATTTTGTCCTATCTCTAACAAAATAATTTGGTCTATTTTTTGTTGTATACATACTAGACTGACACTGTTTTTTTAATAATACTTTTACTTTGTGTTTACATGGCATCCCTTTCCAAGGAGCTTCAAGTGCATGTAATGGCATCTTGTTACTAAATTTCATACATTCATGTGAAATACAAAGGGATGGGAACATGAGGAATTGGAAGTGTGGCTGAGATAAAACCATTTGCCTGGAATATCCTGGTCTATATTGGTTTCTACTGGTCGATCCTAAATGAAGACCTATAATAAGACCTACTCATGGAAACTTATACAATATATAGAATTGTTTAAAAGCTCTAGTTATTATTGTTTTCCTTTTTACATCTTTTTTATTTGTTCTAATTAGTTATACATGATAGTAGCACAATGCATTTTGATTCATTATACACAAATAGAACATACCTTTTAATTTCTCTGGTTGTAAACAATGTAGAGTCACACCACAGGTGCAGTCATACATTCCACCATCGTTCCTGCTCCCATGTCCCCTCACCTTCTCTCCCTCCCCTTTGCCCAATCAAAGTTCTTCTCCCCATACCCCTCCCCCGTTATGATCAGCATCCACTTATCAGAGAACATTCGGCCTTTGCTTTTTTGGGATTGTTTTTCTTTGCTTAGCATGATATTCTCCAATTCCATCCATTTACCTGCAAATGCCATAATTTTATTCTCTTTTAACGCTGAGTAATGTTTCATTTCTTCATTCATTTTCTGGTGAAGGGCATCTAGGTTGGTTCCACAGTTTAGCTATTGTGAATTGAACTGCTATGAACATTGATGTGGCTGTATCACTATAGTATGCTGATTTTAAGTCTTTTGGGTATAGACTGAGGAGTGGAATAGTTGGGTCAAATGGTGGTTCCATACTGCTTTCCATAGGGGTTGCACCAATTTACGGTGCCACCAGCAATATGTGAGTGTACATTTTTCTCCACACCCTTGCCAACACTTATTATTGCTTATATTCTTGATAATTGCCATTCTAACTGGAGTGAGATGAAATCTTAGAGTAGTTTTGATTTGCATGCCTCTAATTACTAGAAAAGTTGAACATTTTTTCATATATTTGTCAATCGAATATATATCTTCTTCTGAGAAATGTCTGTTCAGTTTCTTAGATCTTCATCATGTTGGATTACATTCTGACTTCCTTAACCACATTCCTAGAGTGCAAGAAATAAAATCAAGAATCAATAAATGGGATGGATTCAAACTAAAAAGCTTCTTATCTGCAAAGGAAACAATCAAGAACGTGAAGAGAGTGCCCACAGAGTGGTAGAATATCTTTACTACACGCACATCAGATAGAGAGAGCTCTAATCTCCAGCATATATAAAGAACTCAAAAAATTTAACACCCCCCCCAAAAAAAAGAAAGAAAAGATAACCCAATCAATAAATGGGCTAAGGAACTGAACAGACATTTCTCAAAAAGAAATAGAATTGATCAACAAATATATGAAAAAAATGTTCATCATCTCTAGTAATTAGAGAAATGCAAATCAAAACTACTCCTTTTTACATCTTATGGAAAGACTACCATGGCAAAGAAAAGGAGAGCACTTTGGATACTGGTTAAAAGTGTGAACTTGGAAGTTAGCTCAGCCTGAGTTTGAGATCCAGAACTACTGTTAGAACCTTCAGTGAATAATTGAACCTTTTTGCATTTCAGGATTTGTAGCTGTAGCTATAAGCATCATTCTACTCACTGCATCTAGTTACGGGCTCAGATTAAATGAAATGACCCCTGTTATGCACTCAGCATTGTGCCTATCACATGATATGGTGATAAGTGTGGGTAAAAAGGCAATTCCTTGATTCAAGTGTTATTTATGAGATCTTTGTTTCAATACTTTCTACTTGAAGAAAATATATACTACTTAAGGAAACTACTTGGGAGGAATTTGGAGAAACCTGAACATCTATACTTCTGAATCCTGAAATCAAATCTAGGATTCCTTGACATTCCATCATGAAAGAAGCCTCCGTCCTGGTTTTCCTATTGAGACTCCCTGCCAGCAGCCAACTGGGGAAAGCAGCTATGATATTAAGTTCATCTCTTTCACATACAGGATGCTGAAGAACTATGGTTCAATCAGTTTTAAAATAAATAAGAATAATAGTTTCCTTGTACCGTGTGGCTATTTTATCTAATTTAGTGGTAAAATGGTTGGAGCTCCCTCCCTAAAGCTAATTTGATTTTCTTCTACAGTTTTTCACTCTTTTTTTTTCCTTTTCACTTCTAAATAACAATTATGAGAGCAAGTCAATTGACTACTATAAACAAAAGAGAAGATGGAGAAATTGTTCCTGGGCCCTCAGTAAACTTGCGCACATTTAAAATTATGATGCCTTGCATCTGATCTCCCACTCTCTGCTGTAACTAGTTTGTGATTGAAGAATTTCAGATGCCAAACTATAGGAATGAATGATAAAATGACCAATCAGGAACTTTTTATATTATTAACAAAATAATGTGAATTCCTAAATTGCAACAACATTTAATGTGTGTGTTAATTCTCACACTGGCTCCTAAACAAAAATTTAGGAAATACAGTACATAATTGTGTCACAGTTTTAATGGCAAAAATATGGATATGAAA